TCAAGGAGGCTGCTCATCCAAAGGTGAGCAAGCCCTTGATCTCCTGCTTATTCCAGTGACATCCCTGAGGTCATTTCATGCACCAGTAGCAGCCCCACAACCTAGTCTGAAATGCTTGACTCCAAAAGCAGTTGGAAGACAAGCAGGTCACAGTGGGATCTGTTTGCAGTCTGTACTAGACCCCTCAGCTAAAGTGTTTGGTTGCTGGACACCCCAGCCAGCTGCATGGGGCACAATGGTAGTGATTAACCCTGCTGGACACAAGGTGTGGCAGAGAGTGCTCAATAACTCCCGGTCTAGTTTGCATCCATGTCCATCGGAGTCCCTGCCTCACGCTCAGTGGCTGCTCACTCAGGCCCTTGGTAGGCTGAGCCAAAGCAGTGAGCTCAGCAGCTTGGGGACCCCAGTGGGAAACTACTCTGTAGGCAATAAAAAAAAATGTTCTCGGAAGGAAGCCGGTTGCATAACAGCTCGCACCATGACATGCCCAGCTAAGTAAACAGCCCCATGCCTGCCCACTTCAAACCACATCACTGTCACTCTGCTCACACTGGGAACGGTGCCAGTGGCAGCAGGGAAAGCCCACGGGCCTCCAGGGAACCCTCCTGGCCCCAGCTGCCCTGACCAGGAGACCAGAGCATGCCAAGAAGGAAACCAACTCATTCTTTTGTCATGGACCATTTCAGAGGTCCCAGGTCTGTACTCCCCACAGAAGCAGTTAGCGTGCAGGCCTGTCTGCTGGGCTACCCCACAGCCCAGAAGCAGTCAGGGATAGGCTGGGAGTTGGGGTCTGCTTGGGATGCAGCCCAGACTCTACAAACGTGGTGCCCCAGTCCAAACCTGAGTGTTTAACCACTCCACAGATGCAGTCCATGCCAAGTTCGCTGCTTGTTTCTGACCCCTCTTCTGACCTCTTGTTTCTGGCCCCACGGGACCATCTCTCGCCAGGCTGGTCCTGCTCAGGGAAAGCCGCTCTCCACCCCTCTCAGCACCTCTACAGGCCAGGACCTGGCAGGGTCACTGGCAGGCTCCCTGCTTCCACGAGCCAGTTGTGCCTGACGTCTTTTCCCACACAGGGACACGAAGCCGCTGTCCCCCTGGGACCGGGGGCAGTGGGGCTGCGTCACAGCGGGGCACCCTGTGCCCCCTCTCATCAGGTTGCTGCAAGAAAAAGGTCACAAGCTACCAGCCCCTGCTTGTGTATGGGATCTCTAGGAACATGAGAAAGAGCCGGGCAAGGAGCTGGCGGACATAACCCCCCTTCCAGGGCATCCCCCAGGCTTTGTTTATACTGTGGAGCTGAACGCCATAAAGGAGAGGCCTCGAGCTTTCATGTGGTATCAGGAGAAAGGGGCTTGCTAGATTGATGGCTCTTGGAAGGGAAAGGGGGGGAGTGGGTCTCATGGTCCAGGGGAGACAGGGCTCTCCTGCATCTCATGGTAAAATGGGGAGGCCTGTTTCCAGGGTGCTCAGTACCCTGGGGAACACTAGATGCTGAGCTCCTAAGATCACCCAAAAACTCCAGCCTTAAGCTACTGGGTCCTGCTGCACCCAGGCTCACACCAGGTTCAGTGACTCTCTGATTGATACTGGGGTGATGCCTGGGTGCCTTGTGCATGGAGCAAGGCCCCATCTACCTTGGCACTGTACAAATGCGGAGGCCCCCAAGCACATGGCTGACTGCATCTAGCTGGAGCTCTGGAGGAAAGGAACGGGGGAGCCCGAGTAGCGCTCTTCCTTGTGCCAGCTCTGTTCATAGCTGTATTTCTCCCTGGTTGTATCCCAGCCGGTGCTGCTGCATAACCCACGTGGTTTAGCTTTCCCAGGGTCCTGCCCAGCTTTTTGCCCCTGTCCTGCCCAGCTGCAGTCAGCTCCACAGGTGACTGCCCCCTGAGCATGACCTCTCATAAGTTAGTCATCCCCACCTCCCCCCCAACAGCACCCAGCAGCTGTCAGGTCCTTGGGTTAACACCCTCGCAGCCCTGCAGCAACATGTTAACCACCCTTCAGCAGCACCCTCCAGACTCATTAGAGCAAGCTGCACCCCAGTCCTGCAGCAGAGGTTGTCACCCCACCCTGCCAGCGCTACCTCTGGACCCCTGCAAGCCCATCCCCTCTCAACCAGTGCCAGTGGTTAACCCCATGCTACCCTCAGCATGACAGCAAGGAGAGAACTCAGGAGTCCTAGCGCCTGATCCATTGCTCTGACCACTAGGCAAGCCATCTTCCTGGTCACAGACCAGCGGGGCCAGGGTTCAATGGCTGGTGAATCAAAGGGATCAGTGGAGCAGGTGCCCCCAAAAGCTTTGCATTCGAGTTTCATCCCTGTCCCCTTCCAACACAGTATTAGCTCCTGGCACACTTGTGAGCGGCTGTTACCTGCCAACAGGGCTCCCGCTGGGCTGAGTGGGTCCAGGGGCTTTGTGTGCTCATCACTGGCTGTGGTGCACGTTCTCTGCAGCCTGCCCCAGCCCTCACCTGTCCTCTACCTTTGCCACGGCAGCTGGGAGCAGCTGCTCTGATGCTCTCCAGCACCCCTGAAGGAATTTTTCAATCACCTCTTCCAATGCCCGCCAGATGCGAGCAGCTGGGGCTTGAGATGGAACTGAAAGAGCTCAAACAAGGGCTTTAATAACCAGCGCAGGGCAAGCTTTGTTTGTGATGCCACAGAAACCCAGTAGCCTTGATTAACTAATTAATGAAAAGGGCATGGCTCTGGCCAGAGGAGGAAAGGTTGGAGGGCTGGAGTCTCTCTGAGTGCAAAGATGGCTGGAAAGTGGCACTTGGAAGGCCTCAGCTGGGGCACTGTGTCCAGTTTTGGGCTCTGCTTTTCAAGAAAGATATGGACAACCTGGGAAAAGTAAAGCAGAGAGCAGTGGAAATGATTAGAAGAAAGGGTGGAAGAACTGGGCTTGTTTAGTCTGCAGAGAAGAAGACTGAGCAGGGATTTGATAACAGTCTTCTGGTACAAAAAGGGATGATACAAAGGGGACAGTGATCAGCAGTGCTCTATATCCACAAGGAACAGGACAAGGAAGAACAGGCTCCAATTGCAACAGAGGAAATTTAGGTTGCATATTCAGATGAGCTTTCTCACTGTGAGGATGGTTAAGTGCTAAACAGAGACCTGGAGAGGCTGTGGTGTCTCCAACCTTGGATGTTTGTATGAGTAGAATAGATAGACACTTGGACAAGATGGTTTAGAGACAAATGATCCTGCCTGGAGCAGGGGGTTGGACTAAACATGACCTCCAGAGGTCCCTTCCAGCCCTGTTTTTCTAAGATGCCAGGATCTAATCTGATCTCACCATGAGGCAGAGCTCTGTAACCTCCACTGCCAGTGTCCCTTTGCCCAGTGTCCTCCCATCTTTCTCTTGGACAGTGATTTTGACTGCCCATATAATACATTCAGCCATCACACCAGTCCAGGACCACTCCAGGGTCTATCCCAGAATGGGCTGCACTGGGTGGGTGTGTAGTTGGCTTCTGGGCTTCCTTCTGTCCTGGGCCTCACAGCTTTTGCTGCTGATCAACAAGCTGCTTTTTATAAAACAGCTAACGAATTGCTGCCAACAAAGCCCTCAGGGGACAGGATTCAACAACAAACAGGTGAAGAAGATGGAGCTGCCTTTATTAAACAAGGTTGGGGAATCACAGGCATCAGCAATAAAACTGCAAGTGGAAGGGCTGACTTCCCAAACAGCCTCTCCTCCTTCTGGCCTCCTAGAGGTGGGGAAAGAGCTTTGCACAGTGTACAACCGAACATCTATATGAAGATTTATTTACATCGTTACTCAGCTTGTCCCCGGGCTTTATGTAGCCAGTACAACCCGAGTGATGAGTAATAAGGATTCAGCACAAGAACAAGCCAAGGGGCACAATATGTTTGATCCAAGACAGCTTTGAACCTTTCAGTGCCAAGGTTTAGTTGTCAGGTTGGGCCTGATTTTCAGAAGGGCAGAGCCACTGACTTCAGTTGAAGCTGGCTGCTCTCAGCACCTCTGGAAATCAGGGCCAAGATGCAGTTGTCCTGGGCTGGGAAGGAATCAGAGGCTCTAGAGTGCAAATGCTTTGGACCTCTAAAGATGGAGATAGAGTTTCTCTATCTATAACTAATGGTACTTCACACAGGATCAGTGTCTGGGTTGGGGGGGGATGGGGCAGAGAGCAAGAGGCCAATGAAGAGGGTATGCAAGGCCTAGCGACTCTCAGGCACATGCACATGGAGGCCAATGGTTGTTAATAGCACTCAGCTGCTCTCAGGAAGGACTGGACCTTCTGACCATGCAAAATGTAGCACAACCTGGGTCTACCGAGCATGTAAACTGATGGCACAGCACCATCAGGGCCAACTGGTATGAACCAGTGCAGCTCCACTGACTCCAGTAAAACTACTCTGATTCATACCAGCTGGGGACACTGGCTGGTGGTTTCTGATAGTGTTCACACGGGTCAAGCATGGAGTCCATGGGATGGCGAAGGGCGAGTTCTGGAGGCACCGTAGCCTTGTAAGGGGTTCAGGTATCTGGATGGTTTCACCTTGGGCAGGTGCCACACATCCTCTGCGGGTAATGTGTGAAGCCAGGGGATGGCATTTGCAACCAAACCCCTCCAGACCATGCTGTCTGTTGACTCCAAGCTAGCTACATTCTTGGGACCAAATATGCCTAGAGTGGCCTCTGTTTTCTAGGCGTCCCAGGTCATGACACTGTCGGCCTGATTTTCCCTAGGCAAGGCCTGAGCACCTGCAGCCACCCAAAGGCACCGTGGATGCTTCACAGCTTTGGAAATTAGATGGGGGTGTGTCTCATATCAGCTCCCTCCCAAAACAGAAGGCCCCAGAACCCCTTAGGGGAGTTGTGGCCCTTCCGTCTCTATCCCATGGACTCCCCCTCCCTCACCCTTGGCACAGAAAGCAGAGCCTGCTTAAACTTTTCCCCTCTAGTACAGCTCCATGCAGTTCACCCACAGCCCTCCCCAGCTCTGGCTGCTCCTTGGCTTCACCATATTTTCACGTTGGCTTCCTCCACGCCTGCTTGCCTCTTGCCGTATCGCAGGCCAAATGAGTTCCAGTTGTAGGTGGAGAGATCCTTCTCCCGGTCCACCAGCAGTGACCTCTGAGGTGCAGCATTGCCTCTTCTCCGGAACAGAGAGATCCCTTCCCACAGCTGGGCTGGGCGCCCCCGGCGCCAGCATGGGACGGCTGGCATGGATTTCAGCTCTGTCTTCCCAGAGCTGGGCTTTCTCTCCAAGCAATGAGTGGGGTTGGAATGGACGCCTACAGCGAAAGGGAGAGAGGGAGCGTTAAGAAGGGAAAGGGCCTCACCATAGATGCAGGGTTTTTGGTTGGTCTAAGGACATAGGCAGGCAAGCTTCTTTGGGTAGATGCGATATCTTGTGTTAGACCAACTGAGTAGTTGGAAAAAAGTTCTTTGCAAGCTTTTGGGCACAAGCACCCTTCTTCAGGGAGTCCCTGCTCTTCTGAGATGAGCAAATTAGCACTGGGCAGGACCTCTGAGGTAGGGCCATCTCTTTGCTGTGTGGCTGAACGGCCCCTAGCTTAATCCACAATGTGCTACCATAGCACAGCTAACTCAGAAGTTTCCATGTGATTCCAGGAGGATTTAGACCTTATTGGCCAGGTTTTCAGAAGATTGAACCTCCTGCTTATCATCATATCTCTTATGATAGCATCTAAGGGCCAGCCAAGTGCCAGGCCTCATTGGGTAAGGAGCTGCACAAACACCAAGGAAAACACACCATTAAAAAGAGTTTGCAGGTGCCTAAATAAGGACCCATTTTTCAACAAGTGCGGAGACCTCTGTTTCTGAAAAGTGGGCTCGAATGGTGATAATCTAGACTCAAGGGCAGTGGCACCCAACTTCTGCTGGCCCATGGACAATACTGGGCAAGTGTCATATTAGAGGAACATCAGGCTGAGCTCATTTTAAAATTACCCTTGAGGCTGTGGGTAACGTTGGAGGGTCTTGAGGGCAGCACATTGGGACCAGTAGCTTAGGAGCTCATTTTTCATGGGTGCTGACCACCTGTAGGTCCCATCGATTTTAACTAAAATCAGGATGCTCAGCACCTTTGACAACCAGGGGCAAGGGGAGAACATGAAATCAGAGCAGACAAGGTAACCATGTTAACACATTTTCTAATTTTTAACTGCCTGTTTGTTCAGCATCCTCCTCAAGCTGGCCCTAGCTTCTAGTGCTTGCCATAATACAATAATAACAATATACTGCATTGACCTTTAGGCTTCAGAGTGTAAGAAGAGCATCAAGCTTACTGTAGCTCCATTAGCAACAACCTTTCTTCTTCTAAAGCACTGCAAGCTAAGATAATTGAGCCCTATGGATGATTACACTGATAATGTCTGTGATCTTCAGCTAACCCTCTTGTCTAAACATAGAGCGATTTGGGGGCACATTATCCCAGAAGTGTGAAGCAGCTTCTCCATCCTCTTTTTTGGATGGATGGATAGACAGAAAGATACCCTTCTCAGTTTGTTAAATAACTCACATAAGCCCTTGGGGATATGTAACCCCTTCAACTCCATGGGGGCACCTTTAAATGCAAGAAGTCCAGGGGCTGCAATGCTACCTGCATCTTGGGGGCTCCAGCTGGAGACATATCTTCCCATCGGTTCCCCAAAGAGGACGGTGAAGAAGAACAGAAGCAGCAGTGTGGAGCTGAAAGGATGCATCCTGGGAGGGTGCAGACCTGAAATACCAGACTGGGATGAAAAGAGCACAGAGAAAGGGATTACGCCAACCCAGTGATTGCTTCTCCCAGCCCCAGCATTGCTGTTCTTGACTTATTACACAAGGTTTTTAAAAAGGGCAATGCCTGGCCAGATCCTCCTCTTGGTGAAGAAAGGGCACTTCGGCATGGTGTAAACAGGAATGATGAGCATCTAACTCGCACATCTGCCAACTGCCTCTTGCACCCATTTCACACAGAATGGTGAGTAAAATAAAGCATTGGGTCCAAGTGACAACATGCTCAAACACTGGGGTTAGTAAAAAAAGGAAAGAGAGAAACGCACAGAGAGGGAGAGACACAGAAGGAGAGAGAGAGATTGCAACAGGAATCTCATTAGATCAACACTGTCTGAAAAAATTTAATCAGGGATGATCCTGCCTTGAGCAGGGGGCTAGATAGCCCTTCCAGCCCTACTTTCCTATGATCCTAAGAACCAGCAGTGCAAGTAGCCATGCGTGCCCTTAATTATTCTTGCCATCACTGGAAGCTGTGGATCTTTATCACCATGTAGGGTTAGGTCCCAACACACCTATCATTTGGAGCTGCACGAGTGCAGGCCTTCGCTCTTCAGCTAACACACCTGGGAGGAGAAGATTCCCTGTGCAGCCTTGTTTCAGGTGCACACACACTGAACAGTGGGTGTCCTGAGTGCCGCTGGACTCCAGACGTAGCTTCCCGCCGGCATTAACGAGGCGACTGACCTGCATCCCGCGAAGAGTAGGCCTAGCTCATTGTGTTGGAGAGACTCTTCCGCACAAAACAAAGCTAAGCAGAGACAAAAAGGATGCTGCGACCCCTCATTCCCCTCCTAGTCTGTTCCACTGCTAATAGCAGATAAAACACGGATCGACTAGGCGCAGCCGACAGTATGCTGAGCCTGTGAGCAAGGGACGGCAAGGTAGGGGAATGCCGGGCTCAGCAATATGCCTGGCCAAACCTGAGAGAAGTGGGAATCAAACTCACCCTGCACCTCCCAGACTTGTAGGGGTGCGACCAGTAGTTCAACAGATTGATGCCAAAGAAAGCTATAAAGAGCTTCCTTCTCTTGTGAGATTCAGGGAAGGAAGGAGGAGGGAAAGGAGACAGTTGTGGTGTTTCTGTTGCATCCTTTCCAAGAAGCCTCTGTCCCACTCTCAAAGGGTGCTCGCCAGCCCCTGCTACATTAGCCTTGTGTGCCCAGATCCTCAGGTAATACCTAGTTCTCTGAGCCTGAGACAATCCCGTTTGCTGCACTGGTGAGCCCAGCGTGGTTTTTCTTCCACGACAAGGGCTCTTTGCTGCTACTGTGCCACAAATAATAAGTAACACCAATAAGAGCAATCACACCCCAGGTTTTCAGTCCAGCACTCGCTGCAGGCACAAACGACACCCAGCTCAGCTGTGCAAAGGAGCCTCCTTCACCCGCAGAACCTCGCCATGCTCCAGGAGTGAAGTTAATATTCTTTTCAAGTCACTCCAAGTCGTCAGGTCAAGGGTCATCAGGCTAATACTGTAATTTCCCCTCACACATTTTATCTCTAACCTGCTGTAGGTCACAGCAACAGATTACTATTATTATATATTTATAAAGAGCTGCTTATCTGGAAATAGCAGGGCTCTGCACCCTTTTAATTTATTCCCTTTCCGCTCTCAAGAAGTCAAATGATCTATTCAAGCCTCAATTCCAAGAAAATGGTACTCCTTTCCTGAGAAGAATGATGCTTTTGCTCCCAATGAACTTGCTTACTTTTAATGTTGGTCTGATCTGAGCAAGTTCATTTATTACCAGGGGGGAAAAATAGCCTGGAGATATAAAGTAGTTAGGACAATCTCTTCCCATGCAAGAACACTCTCAACTTAACTTACATGCTTTTATTCCTCTTCGGGTCTTTTTGTTCCTGGAGAGTTATAATGAAATTCATTACCAGGATAAATGGACCTGAACAGAGCTCTGCAGGTTTCTGGCTAGGCTGGTTTTGGTACCCAAGATAGCTCATTGAGAGCAACATATTTACATTGTTATCACACATACACACACACCTCTGTGAATTGGATGTTGGAGACATTTACTGGACTAACAGACCCTGAAACATGCAGTCCTCTCCTGGCCTGTTTAAGTATTGGAGGTGCAATTGGTGATGCTATAAGGAAAGACCTAGCTGCGAGTGAAATCCTGGCCCCGCTGAAATTAATGGTTTTTTTCTCTTTACTTAAACTCATCTGGGATTTTACTCAAACCATTTCATTTTAGACCTGGATCGCGTCAAAGCTGCCCGTGCAGTAGCAGTGCCTCGATCCTGGTGGAGAGCATTACACTGAGATAAACCGGAGCGGCACAGGACTGGGACCCAGGAGACCCAGGCTGTTTACAGCTCTACACTAATCCTACGATTCGAATTCAGTGGCCTTTTCATCTCTACTAATGGCAGCAACACAAGGAGCCCGGGGGACATGCGCTCTCTTCTGCCCCGGCAGCATTAAGCCCGGTTCTGAACTGCCTTGCTCTGAGCAGTGTTAGATGCTGTAGCCTGGGCTGCACACTCACATTTCCCACTTAGCTACCACAAGTACAAAAGAAGAGGTGTCAGAACAGGTGGGTAGACAAGGATCAAGGCAAGCTCCTGTCTTTTCCTGTGCCTAAGTTTTCCCATCTTTTGAATGGCTCAGAGAAACATTACACTGCTTGGGAAAACCACCGAGAGGAAACGATGCCCGCTGCAAGAGGCACGATTCCTCCCCACCTGGCACTTCAGCGGTTATGGTTTTTGACCACGTGGTCTATTCCCTGGAACACAATGAAGCATCCCCCACAACTTAGGGCACGTTGGGGTTTCAATGCCTCTGTGAAAAGCTAACTAAAGTTTCCAGCAGGAAGAATGGAAAAGAAATAACTGAGGCTGCCCACTTACCTCAGCTCCTCTCGGACGTTGCTGTGAAGAAAAGGCAAGCAGTCCCTCTCTCCGGTCGTCCCGGTAGGCAAGCAGCTGCCCTGGCTGTTCAGATCTCTCTCCACTACTGTACCAACTTCTCTGTTTTATCGTATCAGCCGGCTGTGATGTCAGCCTCTGCCTTCCCCTTCGACCCTCCGCTGCCAATTTCATTTCAAAAGATTCCCCATCCTCCTCCTCTCTGGATCGCTTCTTGCTGCAATGTGCAATTAAACTATAAAGCACTTGAAACAGGGGAAGACAATAGATCCATCTCCAGGCTTGGTCTTCAACCGGGGTCTTGCCATTTAATGGGGTTACACAGATTCAGCCCCAGCTGGGGATCTCTTTGTTTCTAGCTTCTTCTCCATTTCTTTTCTCTTCCTTCTCGCAGGGCTCAGCCACATGTCAAGCTGCAATAATTCGTCATAAGTTGCAATTTTCAACCACTGCTGCTCAACTCTTGTAAAAGGCTATGTAGACGCTCCTATTTTTGTTCAACTGAAGTCAAGCATCCTAAAGCTAAAGTGCGATAAGACAAAAGGAGCGTGTCCACACAGAGTTTTGTACCAGTTCACAGGAACATAGAACTAGAAGCGGCCTCTTGGGCTATTGAGTCCAGACCCTGCATTTGCTTGTCTGGTTTAATGAAACAATGACCAATTTTATTTATAGATTGAAGCTTCCTTCTCCCACCTCTTGTTTATCCTGTTGTTTTCTCTCTCATTAGGATCTCTATGTAGACTTTTACCAGCTTAGCCTTGGGTATGAATTTCAGCTAAACTTCTGCAATCCCCTGGATGATCCCCTAACCTTAGGATCCCCTAAGCTTGTATGAAGCTCAGTCTACACTAAAACCTTTGCTAGCATAGTTGTGCTAATTAAGAGTGCAACAGGTGTAAGACGATTCTCAGCTAGGTGGGGTTGCTCGTATAGTCCTACAGATACCAGTAGAGCTTTGCTTGTAGAGCTATTTCAGAAAATGCTTTTGACTGTGGACAAACACTAAGAATGGCTTATTCTAGTTCAGCTTAAACTCAATTGGAAACAGAGGGCGCGTCTACACAAGATGTTTACTGAGCAGTAGCCTAATAACACTGTGCAGTAGCACGCTGGTCAAAAACCATGCTAATAAGCTACTGTGCAATGTTATTAGGCTACTGTGCCATAACTGTCACAAAAAACCACGTGCTGGTGCTACCGTGCAGTAAAGGTTAGTTATTGTGCATTCAGTTACTACTTCATTAAAGAAGTATTAAACTAAATGTGCAGTAACGACAGAGCATTAGTGAATGGGCCAGCAGGGGAGATCATGCTTAGGGGCAACCAACAGGGGTTCATTAGAAGCAGGTCCTGTCAGACCAACCTGGTGGCCTTCTACGACCAGGTCACCAAATCCTTAGACGCAGGAGTAGCAGTGGACTTAGTCTTCTGGAAGGCCTTCGACACTGTCTCTCACCCTGTTCTCATTAAGAAACTGGGGGGCTCTGGTGTCGACACCCACACAATCAGATGGGTCACCAGTTGGCTGGAGGGCCGCACCCAGAGTGGTGGTGGATGGGTCATGTTCGCTTTGGAGGGATGTGGGAAGTGGGGTCCCCCAGAGCTCAGTCCTCAAGCCTGCACTGTTCAACATCTTCAACAGCGACTTGGACAAGGGGGTAAAAAGCACCTGTTCAAATTTGCTGATGACACTAAGATGTGGGGGGATGTGGGCATGCTAGAAGGGAGGAATAGGCTGCAATCGGACCTAGATAGGTTACAGGGGTGGGTGGATGAGAACAGGATGGGATTCAACACCAACAAGTGCAAAGTGATGCACCTGGGGAGGAACAACC